TGAAGTTTGGATCTTATGATCCCCATTTAGAGAAGAGGCCACATAGTCTCGAAGAAATGATGTCACACTTGTCTCTAGCCACACACCTAAGAACAGGAAGAAGCAGAAACCAGGTGAGGTCCGCTGACTGCCGGCCAGGGGCTCCCTGCATGCACACCCTTTGCACATTCCCCAGAAGTCATCATTCAGGGTACACAGCCATGTCAGCAAGATCTAGCAATGAACTCTCTCTTCAATAAAATGGAATCCTGCCCCAAATTCTTAGAACATCATCAACTGATATATAAGATCACCGTACTGACAAATGTTTTCTTTAATTTAAATGTCCACGTACTGTTTCTTAAAGAGGCTCCCAGGCTCTCGGCTTGGAGGGAATATTATCACCCTCCCTCTTCTGCTCCACAGCTCCTGCTCTATTCAGGGCCTGACTTCTCTTCCCTGAATTGCTACAAAAATATCTTCCAACCAGCTCTCTTCCTTCAGCATCTGCCTCCTCTCCTCTAGAGTCAACTGGAGAGAGAGAGTTAGTTATGTCCACAATTACCTTCTTCATGCCCCAGCTGGGAAATGATGCCTCCCTACTTTAAGTTTTAGTGGGTCCCCATGGCCTGAGGGATAAAGCCACAGTTGTCTCACAAGGCCATCACCGAACTGTGTGTTAACCCCGCTGTCTGAATTTAGAATTGTGATCACAAAGACCTGCTCGAAATGGTTAATACACACACGCTTGCACAAATATACACATGTGTACACACATGCCCACACATGGGTAAGCACACATGCTTGCACACACACACACACACTCATGCACTCACGGCCATGTTCCACACATCTGTGCATACACATGCCACATACACACATAGACATAATTACCACATTTATATACATGCACACATGCATACGCATTTATACACACATACAGCTTCTGCTGTTCTTAACAGCGAGGATGGCATATTCTTTATGCCTCTGTTTCCAGGAAAACACCTCTGTTTCTCAGTCAAAAAGACTACTGTAGAGATACCTCTGAAGACAAAATGCAGGGAAAACTAATTCTGTCATGCTTATTCTTCTGTCTGCCTTGACTCTTGCTCACTTGTGAATCTTGCTGGTGCTCTAAGCGGTGGCAGGTGACCTCGGAGTCAGCTTGGTACCTGTCCTCACCTGTCTATGATTGCAGGAGGACCTCCATCTAATGTTCAGACTCATTTGTGACTGAGGCACAGGGTCATTTTGAGTGCTGACTTTATATTTGTGTCAAAATTGTAAATCCCACCCAATGAAGAAACCACTGGAGCTCCTGAGATCTAGAGACCCCAAATCCAGATGCCATCTCACCAACAAAACACCAGCCCCTCACTGTCAGTCTGCACTCTGGGCACCAGTGGAGGAACCTAACTCTTTGAGGAAATGCCAAAAAAAAAAAAAAAAAAAAAAAAAAGAACAAGGAGAGACCCTGACAAG